TTGCCATTTCGACACCACCTCAAACATCAACCTCATATATATATATGAAAATGGACCTTCAATACTTAATCAGCAGAAAATGGTTCAGTTTAGTGATGCCAAAAGAATCTATCCATTTCCAGCCTTCTCATGCTAAACTGAATTGCCATTTCAACACCACCTCAAACATCAATCTCTTAGATAAAACAGCAAATGCTTCAAATTTGACATTGTTAATATATATAGCTAGGCTAGACACTACAAGAAAAGCCATATTTACCAATTAAATTATTGGTTCTTAAACCTTTATTTTCCATAACAAGTTAGAATTAGTGATTAAATTTAAATAATTAGTAAAACTCTTGTTACTAATACTTTTATTAATGAATTTGGCACCTGTCATGGAAAAAAATTTTATAGTGACAAAAAAAATTGACATTGTTAACAATTTTTTTGGTAATAATTTTACTTGTCACAAAAAATATTTTTGTTATAACAATTTTTATCACAAAATGTTACAATTGAGTAAGTAAAAAAAAAATTACAAATGCAATTGAGTATGTGACAAAAAATTTAGTCATCAATTATTAAAGGGATCATGATTAGTGCACACCCCGGTTCAACACTCGATGATGCACACTCCTCTTAACCAAACAATTTTAAACATAAAATTACAAATTTATCCTCTTTTTTCTTTTTTTTTTTTTTTTGGTTTAGAGTTTGGAATATTCTTGAATTAACTTCATGTGTATTTCAATATTTTTTTTTTTCGTCCGGGTTCTCTGGAGAACCCATCGGAGAACCCAACCTTTCCTTTTTTCCTTTTTTTTTGTTTTCGTCCAGGTTCTCGAGAGAACCTAGATGGGTTTTTCGGGAAAAACCTAGAACCCAGACCCTTTTTTTTTTCTCTCTCTCTCTCGAGAACCCAGAGACCATCTTCTTGCATCGCATCATCATCACAACCTTCACCTCCATCACCATCCTCAATCACCACCGAAATAGAAGGAGAGGGGCAGAACCATAGATCCCTCTGTTTTCCATCACCATTGTCACCATCACCACCATCATCATCGTCATCGCCAAGCAGCCCAAAAAAAAAATAAATAAATAAAAGGGTGACGCAGATCTTGGGGAAGGAGAAGAATTCGACAGAGGAAGATGGAGAGACAAGAAGAAAAAGGGGTATTGAGAGGAAAATGACTTTAAGGTTAAATATGTAATTTTATTGTTAAAATTGTTTGGTCATTAAGGGTGTGCACCCCCGGGTGTTGAACTGGAGGGTGCATACAGCATTTTCCCTATTAAAATTAATGTTAAATTAAAAAAGGTATTTATGTAATTATAACATAAATACTATGACAAAAATTTCAGTCACAAAAAATTGATACATATCAACACAATCAAATTTGTCACAAAAGCTTAATAAAATATACTATTATTTCAACACTAATCAATCTTGATTTAATTAATCAAGTTCAATTTTAATTAAAATTAATTGAGCCCAAACTAAGCTCAAGTTTTATTGAGCTTTACTTTATATAACCCTAATGAGCTTAAACAAATAAAATTAGAGTAATGATCTGCGGGACAATTTTGGGGGACGAAACGGAGGACGACAAGTGAAGCAGCCCCAACAGCAATTACCAATTTAACCCTGCTTCCACTTGTCGTTCCGCAAAATCGTCCCTCAAAATCGTCCCGCAGATCATTACTCATAAAATTAAGCACAAGTGTCATTTAATTAGTTTGTAAGTACCTATGAGTTTTATAATGTAAAACCTTATTTTCTTGTATGTTTCTCAACGATGTAAGATATATTTATAGTGTAAAACTTTATTTTTTTTATATATTTTGTTATCGATATGGAATGTATTAATAAGAGAAAACTTAAATAAAACTGTATTTTTTCTTAAGATATAAAATAACTATAAAACATAATGAATAATATAATAAATTATAATTGTTTGTTTTTATAAATTGTTGTTTCATTTTGAAAAAAATCTAGTTTCATAAATTCTTTTATCAACGAAAAGAATACTAATTTTTGAAAAAAGTACAAAGATACTTTAACCATTGTTGACATATATATTTTCAACTCACCTAGTTACAATTGATTCTCAATACATTTAATATTTATTCAATAACTGACACCATAATAATTCAACTTTCATAAGATCAAAAGGATTAGGGCTTTTAACCCTAACAAGAATTGTACCCTCATTAAACTAATCACTGATAAAATACTCATTCAAGTCAAATATATTCTCACTGTCCATATTTCAAGAAAGAATTGCTTCTGTTAGCGTTATTTAACATGTGAAACATGAGTATAGTGCTTTGAATGCTACATGCAGATGTTATTAGCAATTTTCTTCTCCCCTTATTCTTGTTTCATTGAAGATTGCTTCAATGTTTGGATTTCTCTATGTAGAAGCTGCACCAGTGGTTTGTCAAGAGACTGGGTCCTCATAAGCAAACCTCTTCTTTGGAAAATGTTCATCATAGATCCAATCAACATCTTCATTGACCCTATAAATTGTTTGATACCGAAACCCGACGGCAAAGATGCAAACACTTTTGTTTCTTGACTAAGAGTGTTGTGTTAGTTAATTTATGCTGTACATTAATTTCTTTCCAACTTGAAAGAAATGCAATATACATTTTTTTTTGGTTAAATAATTGTGTTTCATATCATTTATTATTATTTTGGAGTAGTTTGTCCATTCGTATTTTGCATTCTAGTTTCTTAGTAAATTAGTATTTTATTTTTGATTAGCTAAAATTCCTTTTTGAGATTAAAGTTTTAGTATATTTAGTTTTACTTTCTGTTATGTAAATTTATACTATATTTTCTCTACTTAATTACTATTTATTGAAATCTATTATATCAGCATTCACCTTTTATAGATTATCAAATTTATATGTGTTTGTACTTGATAAATCTAAATTTTATATATTTGTTACATGTCTTTTAATTTTAAGTTTTAGTTTTTTGAGTTGTTTGAGACTTATTTTATTTGATTTTACATATGTTTAATTTGTTTTGTGTAGGTAAGCACTAACTTGCAAGAAATTGGAATTCTTAAGACCAAACCAAAGAAATCAAAATTAGGAAGATCAAAGTGTCAATTTTTTAAAAGAATGAGGGATCCAAACAGTTTTACCAATGAAAAGTCCAAACAGCTTTAAAGGACAAAATTTCGACACGGACTCTTTTTAGCTGATACAGCGAAGGCGTCGGTACTTCCTTGGTGTGCCGATACCTTAGGCGATTTCCAGCACATTAACAGAGTCCTTATTGTTCAGACATGGGTTCCACCCCTATTACAATTATGTTTTCTAGAAATATTTATCCAGTATTCGAATTAAAGGCAGTCGG